AGTGTTAGGTGACAGCTTTGGGCAGTTTTCTTTATTCTTTCACCTTGGTAGGTTGTCTTTGTTTGCATCTTCAGAGCTGAGCAGGGATAAACAAATCTTCTTTGTGGTACAAATAATGATTAAAGCAGCTTTGAACTCAGTGTGAAACATAACTACCACAACAAAGATAAATATGGAATTCTAAAGACCAGAACTATGGATTACTCTTAAAGAAAAGCAGCATCTTTGCTAACTGGGCTGTCTGGTGAAGGATGAGAGGCTGGGATTCCTTGTGTGCCACCCTCTCATTCCAAAGCTACTGGGCTGCATTCTAGCAATGTTATTATTGCAAGCTTTTTTCCATCTTCTATAACTGAAACAATTTGAAACCCACAGTATTGATCACAATAAGCCAGAGTTGGTGCATGTTTGGCTGGAATTTTTAATGTTTGTTGTACATGTACACCATGTGAAAAACAGGAAAAAAAAAGAGTTGAGTTTTGCACGTCTCTGGGTTTGAAGAGAGTAGTTCAGGTCACAAATGGATGTGGAATAGAAATAAACAGCTGGGTGTATTTAGAAATAAACAATAAGGGTGTGTTTAGAAATGACCGACTTTGGTAACTGTCACCTTCTCTATGGGACTGGTCAGGTAGAGCTGGATTCTTGCATTACCCCATTCCTGCCCCAGATAAGGACTGTGGATGTTTATGGTGCAATATGTTTTTATCTTGCAGGTTGAATTTGAGTGGCTTAGGCAGTTTTGGTTCCAAGGCAAGAGGTATTTGAAGTGTACTGATTGGTGGCTTAAGCCTATGGCTAAATTGGAAGAATTTTGGAGAAAACTGGAGATTATGGTAAGTACTAGTTTTAAAGTCTAAAGCCTCTAGGGCCTAATTTTGAGAGCACTCACAATTATGTTTTTAATTGTACTGCAGTAATGGGTTTTAGACTTTATTCAGAACATATGAGAAGCAGAATTAATGTCAGCCTTTCACTGTCTCCTCTTACTTTTATACCCCAGTAGCCAGAAAAAATGTGAGCAAAATCAGATCCAAAACCCCAGGATTTTAGTTAGTTCTCGACTTTGTTTGTTTTTAAAGTTTGAAAGCCTCATAAAAGCTTCAAATCAGCCTTTTAGAGCCTCACAAGATGACAGCCATATATTACACCACACAAATACTGTGCATTGTCAACTTTTTTGTACAACACCCTGACAGACACCTCTGCTCATGACGGCAGTGCTGATGTGTCTGAGGAAAGCTGAGAACAAAATTGGTGAGCTGGAAGTACAACTGTCTGTGGTCCACCTGCACACTTAGACCAAAGCCAGAACCTACAAGAGGGGTTTATTTCAAGAATAAATGTAATAATGATTTCTGGGTACTTCAAAGTACATTGTGCATTCCTTGAAAAGGGATCCAGTGCTGAACACTATTCTCCTGTTGCTGCTGCTGTCCATGTAGAGCCTCAGGTGAGAGCTGTGCTGTCAGAGTTTCAGAGCAGTTGCTAGCGAACCTGTTGCTGGTTTTGCACTCAGAAGGGGCTGTGCTGGCAAACCCATTGTCCACCTCTCAATCTATCTGCATCAGAAGCTGCATCTCGGTCATTTCTGCTGGCCACAGCATACATTAGCCTCAACTTGCCTGTACTGGTTGGAAGAGTTTGTGCTGTAGCTGGGGATGCTGAGTACCGTTTGTGTCAGGGCTGTGTTTGAGGTGCAACAAGAACCCCGAGTCTGACAGTCACAGCTGTGACTCAGCTGCTCGCCGGCAGTGGGAGCTGCCCCAGCAGTGGCTGGTTCAGACTCTGAAAACACGCCTGGAAAAGTGGATATTTCAATTGTGGAATCAGTTGCCACAAGAAATCAGTGAACATTGAATTTTCCTACAAAAGGAGAGAAAATATAACTTACTTATGTGTTTCAGTTATTTTTTCCCCCTCTTTATTGGTGTTCTTACGTGCTCACATTTCTTGAACGACCCTTATAATTTAAAAAAAATCTTTTGGTTTGTTTTTCTTTCAAATGACAACTTACTCTCTTACTAACACAGGCTTAGATGAGGTAGAGACAAGAATGTTTGATATTTTATATCCATTCTGTGTTGAAAACATGGAAAACCAGCAAACTCTGGAACTCTCAAGGGTTAGGTTTTCTGCAATTGGTGTGACATTGCCATGTGTCTCTAATTAGAAACCCGGTGGCGTCAGTGTATCTCCTTTCAACAGGCCTCGGGATGATATTTATCAGCAAACCCAAGCTCGGGCCAAGACAGAAGCTGCTTCTAATTTATATTTTAAGGATTGCTTTAATGTTTTATGACTTATAACATATTAATCACAATTAATTTCAGCTATTGGAGGAGACAGAGGAGAATGTTAATTGGGAATGTCTGTTTCGCCGAGGCTCTGGGCAGACGCGGCGCGGAGGCGGCCGTGGGGGCGCGGCCGCGGCGGGCCGGCAGGGGGCAGCGTTGGGCCGCGGCTCCGCGCGGATCCACCCGCGGGCAGCGGGAGCGATCCCGGCCGCGATTCCGCAGCGCGGGAATCAATCGGGGTTAACACATTCAACAGCAGTTTAACGTCCAAACTCACTCCTTTGCTGCGTGCTTAGCTCGCACAGCTAAGTTAAATCAAAAGGGTATTTTTGAAGGTACCCAGTAGTCTGCAGTCGATGGGTTGTTTGGTTTTTTTTCCCCTCCAAGTTTGTAACTTTAGCTGGATGATTCATAAAAAAATAAAAAGAGAAAGAAATATAAAATGCTTAAAGTAAAACGTCTTAGAATTGTTGGTCTTTGCTGCCTAAAAGGAATGATTTCTTAAAAGGAAATATTTAAGCATGTGTTTTTCCTTTGTGTGTGAGCTGAACAACTGTTGACATAGCTTTTTTATATATGTGTCTAGAGTGATACAAAAGTCAGTCTCAGAGACCTTCTGTGGGTTTTTTTTTTGCTTTTCCCTTTGTTTAATAAAGCAGCTATAAAGAAGAAAGTTTCAAAAATTATCTCTGATTCTGCTAATTGTAATTGCTCTTCTGTCACAGCAGAGTATGATATTGCAAGAAGTTTAGCCCAATGTCTTCAAACCTGTGGGCTTTATGAAATATTTTTTTACATTATAGCAGGCACACAATTTTATCATAATGTTTATTCCTGGCATTTCTTTCCCTGAGGATAGTTTTACTTAGAGCTCACTCTTGTGATGTAAATGTTAAACCTTTCATTTGAATGACATTCTGATAAAACATCACATTTCCCACAATATTACCTCATGAATTTATGAGCCATTAAATCTGAAGCAGTTTAACCAATCTTCCTTTTTTTCTCTCCATCCCCTGAAAATATGAAGGCCATTCATATGTTGGAGGGTTTTTTTTAAAAGTCATCCAAGATTAACACGTTATCACCTGCAAAATCAGGATAAATGCTTGCAGAATTCAAAGGGAGAGTTACCATTTGAAAAAAGACCGTACAGGCTTTGCTTTCTGGGTAAAGAAAAGTCTGAAAAGCTGAAATCTCATGTGATGTGAGCAAGTCTTGCTGTAGCTGTTCTGAGATTCAGTGGAGAGACAATTTGTCTCTCAGGGTCTGATATCATGCAAACCTTGCAATCTGACATTTATTTTAGCTATGAAAATCTGTAACCACCATACCAAATCTGTAAGAACTGCAGAAGTCTGACAGCCTTTTTTTGATTATTTTGTTTTAGGTTGATTCACATGAGAAAAGTAAAATGTAAATCAATGAATTTTTTTTTTTTTTTTGTGGAATGAAAAGTAAACATATATGGCTACACTTGCATGTTGAATTTTTGAAGGCTTTTAAAAATATATCTAGTGTTCCTTAAAACAAAAAAGACCCGAACAGTGCTATATGGTGTGAACTGTATTTCCTGCTTTGACAGTCCATTTAGCAATGTAGCAATGTATTTATATGGCAGTTGGCCTTAACAACCTTTATTGACTTTAGTGGGAAAGAGCCAAGACTGGCATTATTAAAATGTATCAATTTCATTGCAGTATAAAATCACAATATATAATTATGTTTGGTGGGCTAGGCTCCATTTAATCCCACCTATTTATGCAGGAATTTAGGAAGATGAAAGAAAGCATGGAACTGAAATGTAGAGAAAAGTGTGAGTGACTTGGAGTTGCATTTAACAGCACAACTGCTTCACTACCTACAGTGAAGGCACTACTTAAAGGAATGAAACATAGATCTTGAGGAAGTAATTTCTTAATGGGATAACTGAAACACAAGTAGTTGTTACACCATTTGTTTCATTTTTTGGCGTCTTAAAACAGCTGATGATAATGAAATGCAGCACACCTTTTAATTTGTAGTAGTGCAAAAGCAGAAGTGTGCACACTTGGTGTAAGTGGAATGATGAAAGTGACATTTCATGAAGGCTGGTATATTTCATCTTGATTTTCATCAAAACTTTCTAAAAACTGTCTTTAGTCTCATTATTACTGTTATTCTTAATAACAGGTTTTTTATCAGTTTATACAGCTGACTTGGAAATCAGAGAGCAAGGCTATTTTAATGTAAAATTATTTTTCTTTCCTTTTTGAGGTCTGTTTCATTATTTGTTCCTATTGCTATATATGGAGTATGTCATAGTTTCAGCTATAAGCCACTATTATCAGGGGCTTACAGCCTGACAGTTAGAATTGAGTCTACACTGAAACTTGAGCTACAAAATCTCAGCCCAGAGCCGTTTCTTTTCTCCAAAATTAAAGCAAGGTTTTAAATATGTATTTAAATCAAGAGCATTTCAATTCCCAGATAACCATGAAAAGCTCTAAGAAAAAAAAAAATATGCTTTTACAAGGAATTCTCCTAGCTTTTGTAGACTTTGGCACTTTAAACAACTAACCAATTATTTTTAAAAAAATAGATAATGGGATCACAAACAGGCTGGTTGGTTGTTTAGTTTCTTTCAGAAATTGCATAGCAACTTAACTGACACTTGAATTGGTTTGACCTTGTCAGCCAAAATTCCAGGAACTCTGAGGTATTATTTTAATTTCTCTTCTGGTTTTCCCGTGGTGCTCAGATATTGCAGTGTCACACTTTATTGGAGGGCCATGTGGCGATGGGTGATTGGATTTGCCTAATGAGCTGTGAAATGCAGGAGCAACATGGCAGCTCAAAAACCCAAATTTTACCCATATTTATTGTCTTTTGGGGCTCTCCTTATCTGTTTAGGCCAGAGCCTTCAAATAAATGTATTCTTGGCAGATTATATTTTATGTACACTGGAAGTCAGATGTTTCTGGAAATGTATCTTTTATCTTAAACAACAACAACAAAACTTGATCCTGGAGACTTATTTTCCTTTTTTTTT